GAGGCACGAATTCAGACAAATAGTCTGTACACCAGTGATAAAAGATCAGTTAGGTCCCAGACCGACCACTAGTTGAATACTATAAATGATAAAAATCATGTTCATGGACTCTATATTGGTATCAATACACAAATTGCAGCAAATGGAGTATTTAGTAGAAACCAAACGCCAAGAAACAGACATCATAATTCTGACTTGCGGTTCAGAATATCCACTTCAACTTTTCTGGATGTCATTTCGAATTACTAAAATTAGCAGCAACTTCATTGGCGTTTGTGTTTATCAAGATGGGATAAGATTTAACGTCTGAACAAACGATGAAGGTTCATACTCCAAAGCCAGAAGCGATATTTTCCGTACAGTCTTATTCAGTATGACGTTTTCAGCGAATGTTTAGTATGATGTGATGAAGAATCAATATGAATGAACACAGGAATGTTATTGGATTTCCAACGGACGAATTTGTTATTGAGATATGTTGATGAAGAATCCGTATGAATGAACACAGAAAACAAAATAGATTCCTCAATAGCCGCAGCACTTGATAATCTTTTAGGCAGGATTAGAAGAAATTAAGCTATGAAACCTTGGGCGTGGTCAAATACTTCAACTGTAATTAGATCTCAAATCGGTCAAGAGATGACGGAGCTATGAGCTAAAAGTTTGTACTTGACAACACAACAACAACGCCAGAGCCGTTCTATTAGCCGTTTGCTAAAAAGGTCTCATAGATTAATTTACTCTAATTCTGCCTAAAAGAATTTCAAGTGCCACGGCTATTGAAGATTCCCTCTTGTTATCATACATAATGAAATCTCTAGTAAGGGAAAGAGTTGGGTTTGTTAATTAGTCTGAGTCCATTATATCTACTCAACTGTCCTTAAACTCTTTTATAGATAATACTGTATCTAAAAAACTAACAATTAAAAAAACACAAGTTGTTTTTGCAAGAAGTACATTCAATCGACAATTACCATTTTTGATATACTACTTCTATAATTTACGTAAGTACCGGTTTGCCTATAAATATCTATATTGCGAGTTTAAATGCAAAATCATAAAAATAGTTGTTTTAATGCCACTTCTAAACACCCGAAATATAATTAATTTTTCGTGTAAACTCTACCCTATGTTTTTCATCTTAGGCCATTTACTGCGAGAGACTGTAACAACGACCTAAGGTGATCGCTATGTGCATTTTAGTACTTTAAAAGGCTTAATTATTCAATTCCACTTCCTCAAGATTCTGAAGACATAAAAATTTTATATTGAATGTATTTAGTTGTGATATTGCAGATAACTCTGCTGTTATCAAAAGAGGATTAATTTTATGAGTTATCTGTATCATGAATTGGCATGAACATGAATGAGAACAGAAAATAAAGTCTGATTTATTGGAGTTAATAAAGCAAGTAGCTGAGTTATACTCAGAGTAGATGATTTCGTTTTTTTAGTCCAGGCAGAAAGTAATCTTTATGTTTGTATCCAAGACATCTTACTTTATGAACCTTTCTAAAAATGCACGTGCGTGTGTGTGTATTTATGTTTTCAACGGTGAGAAGTACTCCCTCCCCACAGGAGGTTTGTTTGTTTGTAATTAAGTACAAAGCTACACAATGGGCTATCTATGCTCTGCCCACCATGGGTATCGAAACCCGGATTCTAGCGTTGTAAGTCCGCAGACATACCGCTGTGCCACTGGGGGCTCTCCACAAGAGGTAACACATGAACCTCAACATACCAAGTCTTTTATGTTAGCACTTATGTAATGTTGAATATTACGAGATCGAAATCTACACACAGAAAACATCTCAGGATATGAAATCAATAAAAAAATGTTGTTCAATGTTGTTAATAAAAAATGACAATAAAGTTATGAAAAGAATAGCATCCGTGGCATCAAAACATTTCTCTTTCTACACTAAAACGGTTCATGTAAGTAACAAAAAATTCACATCATCTGCCAGAAAACCACGTTTTTTTAAATTGTTTGTTTGTTTTCACAAGCTTTCAGCCACTGGACGGCTATGATACAGTAACTTAAAGTTTGCAATCAATTAAATAAAAACGTGAAATTCGCCTGTTTTTTGTGTATTTATTAATTCTACACACACATTATAAACCTCAGATAATGCCAATGCTGAGGGCTGGGTAAGGTCCATTAGCTACGTATTTCAGATTATGTTTGTGTATATATTTATAAGGCTTACTTGTTCACAAAATTGATATAGCTTCTTTGACAAATGGTAACGACAAGAATGAACAACATTCCGTCTTAAGATCGTCTCTTGCGTGTACAATCATGGTTGATATAAAAACATAATGAATAATCCGTCTTAAGACAAGAGTTATTGATCATAATGTTTTTATGTCAACTACACCGCCTCATGTCAAAAGCAGAAATTAAAAGTGATATTTAAAGAATATATTAAAATAAAATACAATATACATCAATTAGCAAACACGCTTTGTTTTTGTATAGCAATTTCTATGTTTTTTTGCGAGTAAGAAAATATTTTGTCCTGACACTTGAGCAGTCCAAAGAAATTTCAAATAATACATATTTGCACCTACCTCATATGACACAATTTTAACCATGTCTTTTTTCGAGCTCTTATACAGTAAAACAATACTCGTGCCCCCTCTGTAGACATTTCTCTTGAAATGGACGAATATTACTATTTCTTCCTGTCCTCTGGTGGACTTACAAAGCTAAAATCAAGGGTTCGATTTCCAGCGAGACACACGGTAGGTAACCCATTGCTGCTTTGCTCTAAAACATTCAAACAAACTAATCATTTCTTCCGTTTTGTTAGTAGGTTTATATTTGATGTTAATCATCTTAATATGAGGTTTTTTAACCGGTACTGTTTTTGTGTCTTAACAGTTATTCCAAATCGAGGGAAGTAGACTTAATGAAACATTGTTTTATAGTTTTTTGTGACCAAAGAAGTTGCAGAGCTGGGAATTACCCAGAACTACTTATAGCATTTTAAATTATATTCGGTATATTAACTTTGTGGTTCTTAATTGTTCGAGTGATTTTAGTTATTTAGATCTCAAATAAGGAAATTGAGCTCAATCAGAAAAAGTGTGTGTGTTTTCTTATAGTAAAGCCACATCGGACTATCTACTGAGTCCACCGAGGGGAATCGAACTTCTGATTCTAACATTGTAAATCCGAAGACTTACCGCTGTCCCACCGAGGGACGAAAATTCGTTTGTAGTTAAGCATAAAACTACACAAAGGGCTATCTGTGCTCTGCCCACTACGGGTATCGAAACCCGGTTTCTAGCGGTATAAGTCCGCAGACATTCTGCTGTGCCACTGGGGAGGGGGCTCATTCAGAAAAAAAAAGAAACATGGTTTAAAGTTAAAACATATAAACCAGTAAATTTGATATTAACTATTACACTAACCATTAATTCTAATACAACATGCACCAATTTATGAAATATCTTGCTAGCATTTCTGGAGCTTGCTTAAAGTTTGTGAAATTATTTTACATATAATATTAGATTTTCGTAATAAGAAGACTAACTTTAAACGTTAATTTTTATTGTAGTTTAGAGAACACTAAGCTTTGAAGTCCTGAGTGCCCTTCCATTATATGTGAGTATACTATAGTATATATTCACAGGGTGACTACTTTATATTAAAAATTGTTTTGGAGCCTCATCACATAGGCACAGTTCAGGTCGTAACGTCCGTTGATGCTCTATCTGACGCCTGTGTATCTTTACAAAAGTCTTGCTATGGAGTCTGTAAAAGGCTCCATCGTGGGTTTGCCATATCTAAAGATCACCACTCCTCTATTTTAGCTTTCAATAAGATATCTAGTGTTCGAAAACAACGGTTCCTCATTGTCTATTTCAACAGCCCGATAGCACTGAAATCACTAATCGCTGCGTCTGGCAACTTTACCAGGAGGTCTTCGTATGGAATAGTATGAATGCCCATTTCATACTCCAGCTGCTTGAGGTATGCGACGGTTGAATAGGTACTTCGTGGAAGCAGCTTCTGTACACATAACTTGTGTTGCTTATCCAGACGAAGATTATTTTTGATTATTTGCGTTTTGATGCCTGGCAAATTTGAACGCTTTCGCCACTAACCTTTATGTTCTTGGATTCTCGCCTGTTATAAAACGCAACAGTTTGTTTACCACGGCAGGGGTTCGACTTCTTGCAGGTCTCATTCTTGATGATCTCGGTTTCCCAAGTTGATCCATATTCCTTTATTTTGTAATGCAATTAAGTAAAATAGATATTCCCGCCTTGGAACCTCCTTATCCTAGATCTGAACACATCTATATGATCTGAGTCCATTAATATAATGAATTTGAAAGAGCCGTTGCATACCCTTAATAAAAACAATTAATTTTCAGTAGCATCACACTGCCTACGCAACATCAAAAACAGATATTCTCGTATTGTAGATCCTATATCCCCGATATATATATCTATATGTATGGGGGGAAATATATGATCTGAGTTCATGAATATAATGAACTTGTAAGAGCCGTTGCATACCCTTAACAAAAACAATTAATTTTTCAGTGGCATCACACTGCCTATGCAACGTCAAACAATGTCAAAGTGTAGTTCTGATAATACCATTCCACCGCGACTTTATATCAGCTATGGTCGCTAGGTGACTTTCTGACTTGCATATTCAAAATTGTTTTAATATAACGTACTCAACCCTGTATGTATATATATATATTTACAAGGTATTGTATTTTATAGCATACGGGTGTTATCAAAGGTTTTAAGTAAACCAGACATAAGAGTGTTCAACTTCCTTTACTATTATACATTCTATTTAAAACAGTTGTTTCATAAAAGAGAAGAAAAAACTTAAAATTTCTTTATGAAGCTAGTATTTCATCAAAATAAAGCATTGTTTGTGGAAAATAAAAAAGGAATTATCTCTACGTTGTAAGGAACAAAATAATATATAAGATCAAGTGTTAAGCTGAATCGTATAACATAGCAACTTCCAGTTAAACTGTTTATTATTATCAATGTTTTATCACTGCTTATACATACATGTATCTGAATAAATATGGTTTTAGGTTATTATATCGCAAAGCTATACAGTAGATTATCTGTTTCCTGCCCTTCACGATGAATCGAGCCCCGGGCTTTAACGTTGTAAATCTTCAAACCCATTGCTGGCCAGCTTGATGGCAAGAGAGTTTTTCTCTTTTCTGTCTTCAAGTTTTCAGCTAAAATCTGTTGAAGGGAAAGTGCAAATTTATTAAGATAAATATTTTTATCATCTTCTTCTCATGAAATTCAGTTATTTGTTTTTCTTTCAGTTTTATTTAAGACATTGGTTATTTTTTCATACTCTTGGAAAACCTCGAGAGGGTAATATATATTGGTAAAGTACAGAGAAGAGCTTTAAAACCCAGATGGTTTCCTCAACCCAATGTCTGATTATGTAAACCATACCACTGTTTATGTCAGAAGTTACTTCAATTAAACCAACCAACATATATATATATACTAATTCTAAGATGTTAATTGGTTTATGTTTGTTTTGCTAGGCGTCTCTATTAATGTTTATGTGACAGACTAGCGGAAAGTCAGTTAGTAGTTAGCCGTACCTAACACTAGCTTTTGGGCTACTCTAATCAAATAGTGCGATTTGACTATCATTCTTATAACGCACTTATGCCCCCAAAGTGTTTTTCTTGTGTTTCCAGCAACCGGGCGTAAACATTGAACTCTCAGATTCACAGATAGTCACGCTAACCACTGGATAAACCCGGACCCAGATTTTTCAGCTGCAACTAGATATTACTAGCTTTTGTTTTATACTTTATTAATTTAACGTTACACTACATTAGTATTACATTTACATTATAAAATATTATTTTTCATACTTTTTGTTATTAAACAATGACGTAAGTTTAAACTGTCAAAACTCTTTATTTCTTATAAAGAGCATGGACCACCAGAAAGATCTGTGGACTATGGAACGAACAGTATGTCTTTATGTTTAATAAACCACAAAGATGTAAGAAATATGATGACAATACGAAGAAAAACTGTCGTCTTCAGAAGAGAAACTCATATGTCGCTCGAAACGACTCAATTTATTTATTAGTGAATAACAAATACTCGAGAAGGTTGTCAAGACTTCGTATTTCATTGTGTGGCAAAACATATTGCTGAGGGAAAAAACTACGAATTATAGCCAGGAAAGTAGAATTTAGATGCAAACATATGAGTTAATTGAATTGTCTGGGATCTTTACACGTTGTTAGGCTTGGGCGCCATGAATAAAACAAGAACCTTTTACTTTAATAAGATTTCTGCCTTCAAAGAAAAGAGAATGTTGTAATTCGGAAATTATTTTAGAAAACTAGACAGCCAATCCAGCAAATGGAGACGTGTTTATTCCACAGATAGGAAGTTATACTGTATATATATATATTATTATTATTGTTCTAGAGATATTAACCTTCTAACTGTAGGAGAACGCAGGCTTTGTTCTCCATTCAGATAGCCTTCGTGAACACTTTATAAACTCAATAAGACAATCTATATAAAGCATTAATGGACAGGTTGAATTACTTTTTTTTTTTTTGCAATTTCATTTGAAATGGCGAATTAGAATACCCCAGCGTCCCCCTTGACATTATATTAAAAGTATTAATACCAAGTGTGAAACTTTATACAGTATTAGCTGTATGATAGCAACATTTACTTGAAAACTAATTGAATATACTATGTTTGTTTCCAAATATATATACATGGTAAATGTGTTCAATAAAGTATATGAAATGTATGTTACAATTCTTAAAAAATTCTCTACGTACAATCTAATTGATTAATTATGTAGCCATTTGTCACTTTACTTCTTCCAACATCTTTTAAAAAATCTGAATATTCCTTAGTCTATTTCAAATTCAGTTTTAATCACATTGTTTGCATTTTGTGATCTTTTTATACATTATCTGAACATCATTAGAAATAAACGATTCACTATAATTATAGTGTATTACAATGCAGTAGTTATAATGAATTACAATACATTTTTGTTGCCAACTCATGGTCTTTCTCGTTGTATTTTAACATATACCTAATTATACACCTGGTGCGTTATGCAGACGTTAAAACATTTTTTCAAACAAAGAAAGAATGCGAATAAATATCCGTCTCATACCGCTTCCACGTGACCTCAGTACACTTCTGCAAACATGCTTATCATTCACTAAACGCATTGACAACCACGCTTCTGGAATCATATCAAGTGTCTCGCTAATATGATCCATAAGATCGACAATGGATGTAACACCATTAAGCCCAAAAGTCCAGTAGCATCTTGTCTAGAGTCCGCTATGACGGGGGCAATCGTTTACGGCAAATCTGGCAGGACATTGTCTAGTGATCAAAGAACAGTCTTCCTGGATGAAACACCATCAGTTTCCAACTGTGGAAAGAAAAGTTTCTCCAGCATGTCCAGGTGTGTGAATCTAGTGACTTAGTTGCTAAGGTGATGGCGTTTTTGCTTACGTTGAGCCAAGTCAAGAATACACTGATATTAGTGAGGGGGGAAGAAGCAACCTATAACATGAAGCGAGGGGTCTCGTCCAATATTAATGGTTTACTGTTTCGTTATTTCTACGAGTTCTAATTTTATCTAATAATCCCAAAGTTGTAAGTAATGCAGTGTTACAACATGTCGTGCGAAGTTTGAAGATTTTGTAAGTTTCCCTAGAATGTGTGTGTTTTTTTTGTGTGCGAATAGATGGCCAGTGTTTCTCTTAGCGCACATAGATTCTTTATCCTTGGACTGGCTTTGTAATCTCTGGATTGCATTATTTTATAGTGCCTGTGCGTGGTAAACTTGTTCCAACTGGCGCCACCATTTTGGTACTGTCTATAACTATTGGTAAAACTTTGATTCTTGGTAGAAGCTAAAACTGGCATGATAGGGAAAAAAAGGGTGAGTTTTTAGATCAACATGTGCTCTTACCGCATGTTTCTGAAAGTTATAACATTTTAAAATGTGCACAGCTGCCTACAAATGCCCTGTATTTCTTGCATGTAGCTAATTTTAATTATCGAAGTTTACTTGCTTCAACATATCGAGATCTGATACTTTGAAATACAGCACCACAACTGGTGCGCTCACGTTTTCTAATTCAAAAACCTACGATACTGTTCATGTGTAGAACATTTTGAAATAAAATAGTCTGTATGCATTTATTCAGAGAACAATACACAATAAAACTTCTTTCTCAAAATATCTCATATATATTTCCGCAGGGTTATAGTTTCTACAACTCTTCTTAACTGACTTTACCCCTTAGATACAGTTTTCTTCATCCATTTTTTCGGTAATGGAAGTGAAAGCTGACTTTTCAAGAAGAGTTTCAGGCTGAAAAGAAATCTGATTACTTGGAACGTTAGGGGAACTCCGTTACTTTGTTTAATGAGAGAAAGATACCCCTGCACTTCGCAGAGCCTTCATTAAAGAGTAGGCTTAAAGTCTGTTGTTCTCATCTACTTCTCCCAGCCTCCTAGTGAATAGACAGAGAATCCAATTTAGTCACGTGACATATTTTCTTCAATGGTGATGATTTTTCAATAGTCTAATCAATCAGTCTGAGAGCTATTCTCTCGAAGAAAAGATATCACAGATTCCTGTTGAAGTATGCACATATTTGAAACGAGTATCTAAATGCAACGTGGTAAATAATACAAAGAAAAGCGTTTGATGTTATTCGTGTTTAAAAAAAGGCCGAAAACACATGTTCGTAATATTCACTTCAAATGTTTAAATCTACTAAAGTGTTTTCATGTTAATGATATGAGAGCAGCGCACATGTTTCCTTTTTTGTTCTTGTTGTTGGAGAACTGCTTAACTTCACTTTCAAGCGAATAATAGAATAAGGATACACATTGTGTTAATTTAGTCTTTCCTTCCAATTTGTTTTTTGAACATAGAATTTTCTTTATTTGAAGTGTTTTGACAACTCAAAATAATTCTTACGTAACTATATTTTGGTATCCTGTCCAGTGTATTAGTCCCTACATAAAAGTAAGACATACTAACAACTTATAACTTTAAATATGCCCCTACTTAAATAACTCTAAGTTGAAGAAAGTTCCATCAAAGTATTTAACTGTGTTTTCTGTTGTTTTAACAATACAATTGCCACGCAATCACATTAAAACTTCTGTTACTTAACATCTATAGCAATTTTTCGTTTATATAAATATCTTTATACAAAATTAATCTTATCACATAAATTACACAGGCCTGCGATGGTTTTATTATCTTGAAATTTTTACATGTTCTACAGTACTTTCTGTACGCTGAATCCGAAAATGATATCCATTTTTCTCCATCACGTACAGATTTTTCACAAAACGTCATAACGCTATACATAAAAGAAAGACCACAACACGTAGTTTTAAGACTAAAAGACGTAGATTTCACACACACAAAATCTATATAAATGAGGATGCATATTCGTTTGACATCAGTGTTCTTCCCTTTTCTTCATTTTGTTCATATTTTTGTTAAAACATAACAATAAAAAATGTTCATTGTGGTAAACGAAATTATAAATTGATCTAATTAACAGTTTTTCTTCCCCGATTTGTAAAAAATCCTTACGTGATAGAAAATAATTAATATTATTTTCAAAATCTGCGTAGCTGAAATATGAAAACTCCTTTATTAAAACCAAAACAATTTTTATGAATTTTAAATTCGCAGGCCCGTGTTATTTGACTAAATACAGAATGATTGTAAATAAAAATTCTGATTTAAGGTTATTAAAAGTTATAAGCTACTTGTACTACAGAAATCAAAGCTTACCAGAAGCACATTGACAACCATATTCTATTCAGGAAAGTATGGACACGGTATGGGGGTTTTCAAAATCATACCATACTGTAAACCTAAAGTGTTTTTCTCGCGAACTAGCATCGCTTTTAATTTGTTTGTTTCTCCCTCTTTTAACATTACAATTGAATAAAATGTGTGACTGTTGTCCAAGAGTGCTACTGAAACAAGGGCACTTTTACATTGGTCAAAAAACAAATCCAAAGGGGAAATGGATGCAAAGTTCCTGGTCTACACTATCCCCAAACGTTTAACAAGCACATTTCTTTTTTTTTTACCGTGGGGTTTCTTCAAAGAAAATATCTTTCAGAACAAACCTCAAAATTTGAAGAACCTGAAAACAGACATTAGAAATGAGATTGTGGAGGTCAATGAAAACTTCCCAGAACACTAAACATTAAAGGACATTCAGTATCATGTTCATACCTTCCCGAATATATTCGTTGTTTGAGATTTAGTTCCCTTGAGAAAGTTAGTTTTTAAGATATAGTAATTTTAAAGATACAGATGTACCTAATATCAACGTATGTACCAATATGGGTATATTATATGTTAAAACTTTAACATTCTTGTCAACGAAATCAAATTGTTTACTGAAATATTCCAAAGTTCTCTCTACCACTACTCATCTTTGTAAGCTTCTTCATGCCCGTTAGTCTTGCGCGTTTTTAAAACCATCCTGCCACAGCAAGCGCTAATTTCTGAATATTTAAAGATATCAAACGCATAATTTTACAAAAACTTTTGAGATGCCACTAACAAAAATATATTTCGCCCATACCAATGTCATCTTTAATTTATATGTTTTACCTATGAGTAAAAATAATGATATATAATATTACATAAACAAAAAGATGCAATTTAAATATCATGGCACACACACACACACACACATGTATGGCATAATCGTATGAGCATTTCTATCGAGACATATTTTTAAACCCACTTTCCTCTTCTGCTACACTTTGATTTTACATACCTGGTTCGATGGTTGATCTTCTGTTAAAATTTAGTCGCCGAGATATTTAGTCTCCTAAAGAGCTCAATACGTTGTATGGTTTTTCTATCAGTTGTAGTTCATTTGGGTTTTTTTTAACACAAATTTAGTTAAACGGAAGTAACTAGTTTTCGCAGGTTTCCCTTTTATTTTTGCGCAATTTTATCAGTAAACATATTTACTCACTAACTAATTACTAACTGGTAAGATAATTGATTGAAAAGAGCAATCTTACTTTGAAAGTGTTATCTGTATTCCTTTACCATAAATAACTTCTGTTCCGACGTCGTTTCGTATACACAAATCCGCCTTATTTAACATCTCTCACGTGATTTATCTATTTTTGCACTTGTCGTTTACTCGTAATTTAAAGTGCCACTATCGTAAAAGCTTCTAGAAAGACTATTTTGTACTTCTTGCAGACTTCTGTAATAGACAATTATGCCTGCATTCTACTCTCCACTATTCGTATTGATAAAAAGAAATAAAACTACTCGTATTAGTGTGTTGATTCTCAATAAAGAGAATCGCGGAACGTACTAGCTTCGACACATTTGTTTATTGAAACATACTGCAGACGCATTAAAGTCTATATATAAATGTATATAAATATACATGAAAAATTAGCAACGGATTTGGATAAATTTCTATAACATAATCTTATATTCTGTGAAAACAGACAAGCAATATTTCAAATCAGACAGAGAAGGTCTAAAGCTCCAGTGTTCAGTTCTCTTTTTTTCTGTTGTTGATAGATTTGATCGTTATTTGAATCGAAGTACCTTCCTATGATCAAAGTAATTCTATAAACATTCACTTAAATCCATAAACGATGAATTTAGACTCTCTACTAATTATTCACCATGGTTATAGATGGAAACCAAGATGTTCACTTCTTTCGTTTCTTGCTGATGAAGCACGCGGACTATTTGATAACGGAGCTAAATTAATGGAAGTTGGGTCAGTCCGTCTAGACACAAGGATCAAGAAACTTAGGTTTATACAGAAGACAAATTTTACAAGTTACCTTTGTCGCCTAGCATAAGAATTTGATTACATCCAAATATTACATGGTGTTGAAAGTCAAAGAACCCGGTAGTTGATACATTAAGCTTTTATTTAGAAATCCACAGCAAATATATACAATGTTCGCGCATGTTATAGTTATCCCAATGAACTTGCTTTATGTTTAATATAACTGGATCAATATCCAAAAGCTACTTGGTGTAAAGAAACGTAAGTTATTATTCAGACAGGTAAAGGTTTAAGCTAAAATAAGAAATGTACCAGAACTTGCTTGATATCTATAGATTCTTAATTTACTGAATCAGTAAATTCTCTAAGGGAAGAGTGTATAAATTCATTTAACCAAACGCAAACTAACAGTTTTAAACAACTATGTAGTTTGATATATTGTACTCTTTAATTATTATCGTTTCGATCTATACTTAATTACAGTTGAACAGTATTTACATGATTCAAATTATAACAATGAATTAGCACGTAAAAATTTCGAAACAGTTCCTATAGGTGGCATTATACTGATTGGCTTTTTTTACAAACATTAAACAGTTAAACAATTATGACGAGTTTTTTGGGGTTAAGTTAATACATATGGAAAGAAGTTTTGATTAGTGAAGGTTTTGAGCTTTTGATTAGCAGTGCTTCTGTTATTTTACATCTGTTCAGGGCAGTTAATATACGCATAATTTTAACATTGTTTTAAACTGTGACTTCATCGAGTTCATTTGAGTTTGCCCCTCAAACTGGAACAATTGTTTAATGATTTATATGATATATAACAATTACCTCACTGTATTTTTTATAATAACTGTCTTACCTAATAATTATTCTGTAATTTCTCTAGCTACTGGTATTTCTAATTTTTGTCTCTCCACTTCATAAATATTCATTCACATTAGATCACAGAAAAACGTTGTGTTAATTTAAATCAACGTCATCACTTCCATCTTCCATTCAATCCTTCATCAGCTAATAGTCACAAGTTGAAAGAGCCAATTGGCCCATCAGAAATGCCTCCTGATCCAAATCTTTTTATTCCTCAAAACTCTATTCAAAGTCCTACGAAGCGTCCTTTGAAGAGTGTAGCATGTCTTACAAGAAAGATTCTTTAGGGGTTTCAAAAGTTCTTGTTGAACAGGGCTTTGAAAAGATTGCTCGCGAGATGATTTCGCTCAGTGTTAATCGAATCCTTTTCTATCAGAAACTGAAAATAATGATATATATATATATATTTGCAACCGAGTGTTTCATTAGGTTGTTCGACTTTAGTCAAACTCTAGAAGTACAACTATAATAGTATTCAGCACGTGTATAGTGTATGTCGAAATGCATCTCAAACATGTGTAAAATAATATAATAATAATATATATATATATATATATATATATATCAGTGTGTGCCGTGTATAAATTTACTATTATTACTTGAATTTGGCATGTTTTATTCATTTGATATAAGAACTTAATGTAAACTGAACACGTTGAATTCAGTTCTTGTTTCCACACACATTTAACCATATCGTGCAATGACAAACATCTATTTTATTTTTTAATGTTTGTATAGCCAAAAGAGCATTAGATAATATTAAACTTTGAAGATTATTTTGCTAATGTATAACTGTTATGGCGGTTAAGTTCGTGCACAGTAAGTGCTTAAAGTAATTCTTAATCTTATGAAGTAAATACAACAAGAATCCCAGAGGGAAATATAATGAAGTTACAACCAAAGTGGTAAAGTAGAGAGCGTGTACCAAAAGCCTCGAGGTAGAAGTTGACTATTTCGATGGCAAGTTGCCCACATTTAAAAAGAGATTGATGACGCTTCAGTACATAGTGGTGAGTCAGCTTCAACTGGTAGAGTGCTATCTTGTTTGTGTCAGTCTTTTCCCTGACTAAGAAGAGCAGAAACTTTGAATAAAAAAATACTGATAGTTTTACGAATGTGAAAATCAGTATCTGTCCAAGTGTTAACTATTCCTCTAAAAATACTGATAGTTTTACGAGTGTGAAATTTAGTAGCTGTCCAAGTGTTATTTTATAAACATAACTCATTACTTTAGATGGATGATCAACTGGATTTCATGATTAGGATTTAATGTATCCTAGTTTGTTTCTTTGTGGATAGAAAGAACGAACTCCATCTCATCTAAATTCCAAAATATTTTTTATAAATATTTATTTAAATCAGCCACTCTCTTAAAAAAAGAGATGAAAGTATTTTCACTATGTAAAGTAAGTTAGCATACATATTTTAATTCAAATTTTCATTACAACCCACAAAAATAATATTATATCATACTTTCTCATTTGATTGAACTTGAAATTTGGTTTGTTTGATTTGAATTTCGCGCAAGGCTACACAAAGACTATCTGCTCTAACCGTCTCTAATTTAGCAGTGATAGACTAGATAGAATAGCAGCTAATTAACACCACCGACCGCCAACCCTTCGGCTACTCTCTCACCAACGAATAGTGGGATTGATCGTTACGTTATAGCACTCCCACGGCTGAAATGGCGAACATGTTTGATAACGGGGATTCGAACGGAGTCAAGCACCCTAACCATCAGACCATGCCAGGCCTTTGAAAGATGCGAATCTGGTCTAAGTCTACACATGAGAAAAAAAAATGTCATTTGTATTTGTTTTTAAAGTTGTCGCAATTATTTATGTAAATTTTACTTCGATTACTCTACAGATCTTCACTAATTATAAATTAAGTTTGTTTGTTTTTTCCTTGAAACTAAAGTTCTCGGACTATTCAGTTTAGTTTGGTTGGAAAATATCCTGAAGATTTAAAACTTTTAAAAATTAGAAGACACTAAAATTTTCATAATATTTTGCACCTTGGGACATCTTCATGTACAACAAAACAATCTGAAAATAAGCAACTATTAAACCAAATCTTATTATTTTGATGTATTCTACTTAAAACCAATTCCTTCATTTTAGATTCCAAGATAAATAATTCAATCAAGAGCGGTTTCTTCAAATGTATATTAACTTTTTAACGTTTCACGGACTCAAGAAAACTTTTGCTGAGAGGCGGAAGATAGTGTTTGGTGACAAAAGTAAGAAAACAGGAATTGATTAAAGTCAAGACGAAAACGCAGAATGCTTGATTTGGTATTCCGCCCGTGGTAAAGTAAACAGGTAGGGATGGAAGAGTGTGTGTACGAATCTTTAAGAAATTTGTGATCGATCAGCAAAATTCCTGCTAAAAGCATTGAATGCCAGAAAATATAAATGTAGACTACTGTTGTTGTTGTTTTTATTGAGGTTGATAAAGTCTGATGTCAAAAGTTCATATTGCAAAAAATAATAGTAGTAATAATAATATTATTATTATTTACAATATAATCACAATTCTGAATGTCGAAACATAAATATTTTTCTAATGTAATTGAGGCTTTTGAAGTATTTCTTTAAATCATTTTGATATTTTAGAATAGAGGAGAATGTAATGTGATTTATATAATTCTATTATCACCTTCCCCACTCGACTAGTGGAAACAAAAGATAGCATAATGTAAATATTAACTTTTGTGGAAATATTCTTCGCCACATACGGCTGAATCTGAGAAACATTCTTTTGTCAATTTCTCCAATTAACTATACTGTTTTCATGGTATGGTATGTAACACTAGCTAATTACTGTATAAACAATTTCCTCCACAAACGGTTAGAATTACAAAATTCGTTATTATCATTTTCTACAACCATCTAACTATACTGCTTTTATGGTGTAAGACACTAGATAATTTTTGTGTAAACAATCTCCTCCACAAGAGTGTAAAATATAGAATTCGCTATTATCATTTTCTACAACCATCTAATTTCACTGCTTTTATGGTGTGAAACACTAGATAATTTTTTGTATAAACAATCACCTCCACAAGAAGGTAAAATATAGAATACTCTATTATCCTTTTCTACAACCATCTAACTACACTGCTTTTATGGTGTGAAACACTAGATAATTTTTTGTATAAACAATCACCTCCACAAGAAAGTAAAATATAGAATACTCTATTATCCTTTTCTACAACCATCTAACTACACTGCTTTTATGGTGTGAAACACTAGATAATTTTTGTGTAAACAATCTCCTCCGCAAGGGGGTAAAAATGTAGAATACTCTATTATCAACCATCT